CTCGGCACTGTTCAGCGAGCCACCAGGAAGGTCGCAGATCCCTAAGAGCGTGCGAGCGAGACCAAAAACTTCGAAGGAAAATCCGAGATCTTTCCGCTGGTGGGACGAGCGTCGTCGACTCGATTCTGCTGCCGAAATCGGTGTTGTAGGTAATTAATTTGGATGAGTCGCGCCAAATACTGTAGATATTAATACATCCAACTCTTGAAAAATACTTTGTCTTGCAAGGCAACCACTGAAACAGCGCCATCTGTTAATCTGAGGTGATAAACTCTTGCTTCATAGAGTGTTACTGGCTGGGTAACAATGTAAATGATAAATAAAAATACGTTTATAATTGTGAGATATTTTCTTTAATTTAACGTTTTTTGTCATAATTAACCTTTTCTTCTTACTATCATTAATTTTATTAACATAGGCTTTCGCGCCCTTAATAGTTGTCGAGCCACGCGTTTTGTGAATTAACTTTTGTTGAATTTTTGGTAGATTGCGTCACACGGCCGATGGGCATTCGTCACTCATCCGACTTATATAAAATAAGCTCTCTCTATTTATTTCGCCGCCGCCGACAGTCATTAATGTTAGTTTCGCGTTTATAATTATTGTATGTTGTAAATTATCGGGATTTTTATGTTCGCGCAATCGATGTGCCGACTCGCGTAAAGTATTGCGTCACGCGACTCGTACACCACAGCCCTTCTCGATAGTTTCCGTATTCTTTCTGTGCATTGTTAGCAAGTATGTTGTGTGTATTATAGGAAATTACAGTAAGAGGAAGGCGAAATTTGTCAAAATCGTGCAGAAAATCTGTCGGGTGTCTTTGAGCCTGCTATTAGTTTCCGCGAGTCCGTCGAGTTATTTCCTGCGCTTTTCGACGCAAAAGTCGTCGTTATTGTTATCAAGACGTATACCGGCTTTCCGCGAACCGGCTAAAGAACCAATTCAAGCCGTGTCATCTAGAACTTGCTATTATATCGGTCGTCCCGATATTATTATCTCCGACAACGGGACGCAATTCAAATCCGCACCGCTAACCGAAAGGCTTAAAGCTTTCAATATAGAACACCGCACCGCACCCGTCCGCGCTCCTCATTGTAACCCGGTGGAGCGTACGAACCGAACAATAAAAACAATGATAGCGCAATACGTCGATCGCGACCACCGCGGATGGGACGAACATCTCCCTGCGTTGCAATTTGCGTACAACACCGTCACGCATGACGCCACCGGATACACGCCAGCATATTTGAATCACGGCCGCGAGTTAGTACCACCCGCCCCCGCCCTCCCAACACCTACGGAGGCCCCGGAACCCGACATCGTCCGACAAAAACTCCGAAACGCCGAGGAAGTCGTACGGATCAACCTGGCCAGAGGATTCCAAAGGCAACAACGTTATTACAATCTACGACGGCGAGAATGGCGACCAAAGATAGGCGAATATGTTTGAAAACGAAATTACCCGCTATCCAACAGAGCAAACGCATTTAATGCAAAACTCGCGCCGAAGTTCATCGGGCCGCTCGAAGTACGTCGGCTTATTTCGCCGGTAATCGTCGATCTCCGGAGCAAACGCGGGAAATGGTATCGCCATATACACATTCAAGACCTGAAACCCGCTCCCGGCGAAAATAAAAACAATAACACCGACGACAATAACAACGAAACAGATGATCCAGAAGACAATAACGAAATCGACGAAAACAATGACGGGGAAGACGAAGAAGACGTCGAGGAAAACAACCCCACCACGGAGTAAAAAGCAGAAATCCGAGGAAAAGAGAACAGCCAGAAAAGATCACGAGCTCAGAAGGCTTCGAGATGGATATCGAAACAGACATCCTCGACGCAATCAACGAGATCCTAGGAGATCCCGAACAACCGTATGGCCCAGGCGTGCTAGAAGCACGACCGATCGTCCGGCCGCCACCACCACCTAGGCCGCCGAAAGTCGGCACCGCCATCCAGCGGTCCGACAGGACGACCCAGCGGAAGCTGGCCATGTTGGCCACACCGCCGCCGCCGCTAACCGCCTGCATCCGGCTACGTCACGGAAAATTTTCTCGAAAGCGAACATTACTTTCAAGGTTTATATAGAGCAAGAATTCGCCAAGATACGGAGAAAAAATGCAGACACTGGAGAAACTTTTTAAAAGACTGTTGTCCATCAACATTACTTTCGGCTTGTACGACGAAAATA